CTAGCTTAACCTCTAATAAATGTCCGTATAGTTTTTTAATCACCTTTTCATCAGTACCTGTCAAAATTTTATCTAAGTCAGTCAGTTTATCATGAAAACCTTCTAACATCTTTGTCATATCTAGAATGTATTTGCACATATGAAAACCAATTCATCCTTGTACCTTGTTCTTCTAGTTCTTGCATAGATTTAAGTTCACCCTTTCCATTCAATATTTCACCATATCTAACTGGTTGTTCCTTTTTATATGTTATTGGATATGAATAGTTGATAATTTCAATAGTTGATAACCAGACTGGAATTTTTAAATAATATTGCTTTTTAATCTTCTCTTAGTTTAATAACAAAGCCTCTCGTATATAATGTCTTCTGAAATACCCCTGTGTTTTAGTTCCCTTATACCATAAGAAGGCAGGTTTATAAATATTGAGCACACGACATATATACCAAACCGACACACTGTATAATTGAAAGTTGGTTTTATTTGTTGTTTTGTTTGTCATAAAAATAAAAATAAATTCAAAAAAAAAAAAAGGAAAAAGAGAGTTTAAAACTGCAAGACCTGAAATAGACAGCAGGAAATCATTATTCATTCCTACTTCCTCCTAACCATCTATCACGTAGGCCAGCCTTCATTCTCTTTGTAAATGTCACAACTTGATATTTATGTATTTGCCATTTTTCCTTCTGGGGGAAAGACCGTTTATATATTACTCGGCACTTACTCATGATTAAACTTTGAATTTCTACAAAGCAAACATCGTTAGAAGTTTGGGCAGTTTGCAAACCATTTCCTTGGGTGAGGTAAAATTTATTTAGGAGAGAGAGCTTCTCAACAAAGGACATTGTATGTGTATTTTAAGCTTATTCATTGTAATTAGTGATAGTGTAATCCAATTTTGTTTCTCAGCCCTACTGAATTAACTTACGTACTCCCCAAAATAAACAGGAATATCTCGTGGTTCTTAACTGCTCCATTCCATTTGGAGCATGTGATGTTTTGATCTGTGTAGGAGAAAGTTAATGGGTCTTGCATTACTAGACTCCAAGAACGCTCGACTTAAAATAGTTCACTTAGTGGCCATTCAAAGTTACAACGGCACGGAAAAATGTGAGTTACAAACATTTAGTTACGAAAATAGTTTGCAGCTTCCCAGCGATCATGTGATCAAAATTCAAACGCTAGACAACTGATTCATACTTATGACGGTTGCAGTGTCCCAGGGGTCATGCGTTCACCTTTTGCGACCTTCTGACAAGCAAAGCCAATAAGCAAGCCAGATTCACTTAACAACCATGTTACTAACTTAACGACTGCAGTGATCTGCTTTACAATTGTGGCAAGGAAGGATGTAAAATGGGGCAAAATTCATTTAACAACGCTCTCGTTTTAGCAACTGAAATTTGGGGCTCAACGGAGGTCGTAAATTGACAATTACCCATAAAAGGTCCATCTGAGCCAAGAAACTTCCATGCAATCCCAATTCTGAAACACATTTATTTACCTTTGATTTTAGTGCACCCACTAAAATTTTAGAGGGATGCGGTGGCTCAGGGGCTGAGACGCTGAGCTTGTTGATCAGAAAGGTCGGCAGTTTGGCGGTTTGAATCCCTAGCACCACCTAACGGAGTGATCTCCTGTTACTTGTCCCAGCTTCTGCCAGCCTAGCAGTTCGAAAGAATGTAAAAAATGCAAGTAGAAAAATAGGGATCACTTTGGTGGGAAGGTAACAGTGTTCCGGGCACCTTTGGCATTTAGTCATGCCAGCCACATGACCACGGAGACGTCTTCGGACAGCGCTGGCTCTTTGGCTTTGTAACGGAGATGAGCGCTGTCCCCTAGAGCCGGAAACGACTAGCACGGAAGTGTGTGGGAAATCTTTACCTTTACCTTTTAACTGTTTTAGAATATCATTTCTTTCCGGTCTGCTCATTTTTGAAGATCGAGGTGTTGTCTTTCTTGAATTGATCTGAAATAGTTTGATATAGTTTGGGTAAGTAAGACCATCCCTCTTTCTGTCTTTGGGGCCTTTCATCAAGATACTAACATTTACATTAATCTTTTTGAAGTTCAACATAGTTGAAAGATGTACAGTTGTATCCCAAAATATGTGTACCTTTCCATTTTTTGCAATTCATCCCAGTTGGTCATGAAATGCATTATTCCACCAAGCAGACACTTGGCTTCGGATTTATGATTGAGCGTATTTTCTGTAAATAATGAAACAATTAAAACACCATTTTTTTTGTTTTATTGTTGACAGATTTTATTGTGTATCTGATAGGTATCGTTTTAAGGTAGAAATTGTTATGATTATAACAATTTTTACCAGTTGAAGAGATCAGATCAATTATCTGGAAAATGCTTTTGACCAAAATATGAGGGAATGTAAATATGTAAACCATAGCTATGGTTTTCCCAGTTGCAATTTGTCGCTGTGAAAGTTGGACCACAAGAAAGGCTGAGTGCCAAAGAATGGAGGCCTTTGAACTCTGGTGCTGGAGGAGACTCCTGCGAGTCCCTTGGACTGCAAGGCGATCCAACCGGTCAGTCCTAGAGGAGATCAGCCCCGACTGCTCTTGGTAAGGCCAGATCCTGAAGATAAAACCCAAAATGGCCACCTCATGAGAAGGAAGGACTCCCTGGAGAAGAGCCTAATGCTGGGAACGATTGAGGACAAAGAAGAAGAAGGGTATGGCAGAGAAGGAGGTGGCTGGATGGAGTCCTTGAAGCAGTCCATGTGAGCTTAAATGGACTCCAGAAGATGGTGGAGGACAGGAAGGTCTGGAGGAACATTGTCCATGGGGTCGCGATGGGTCGGACATGACTTCACAATTAACAACCATACCAACAAAATACATATGCATGTGTTTATGTTTGTACATTGGTATTTATACTTCCTTGCACAGATTAAATTCTAATTACAATCATTCTTCAGAGTCTTATAAATTTAGAGCAAGGGTCCCTTAACCCCCCCCCCCCCAAGTCTGTGGACCTTTATTGGGCCAGGCCATGTAAACAAGCAAAGTCCCATCCGTGGGATGAAGGCAGCACGCGAAACCACACTTCCCTCTAGTCCACGGGAAAACCACTCTTCACAGAACCAGTCCATGGTGCTCCAAAGGTTGTGGGCCACTGGTTTACCAGAATTAAAAAGGATATGCTGCTTTATTCAAAGCACTAAAAAAGGAAGAAAGACAAGAACCCTTGACACAATAAGATTCTTCAAATAAATTCATGTGATAGATCAATTCCTTCCTACAGATAAGTTCTAAAGTTATGTCTTCCACTGTTCCAAAAGTTGTTAATATCCATGTGATGTTAAGATGCGGCCAACTTGGAGACGTGACCTCTAAACAGTTACCCTATTCATGATGGAGAGACTTCACTCCCTAATCAAGCTGCTGAAAAGAGCTGGAAAAAGTTGTTTTTACTGTATTCAAATGGACTGCAGACACGACCTGTGTCAGGCGCAAAGAATCAAGAGCATTTGTTGAGTTCAAAGCATAGCAAGAGTGTCTTACAGGTAGTCCTCGAATTACAATAGTTCACTGGTGGCTAACCTTTTTGGGCTCCTGTGCCAAAAATTGTGCGTGCGCTTGCGTACCAGCATCCAGAAGTCAGTGCGCACGCTTCCTGCACATGCGCGCGCAATCCCCCCTCCGTTGCCCCCTTACTTGCACTGTGCCTTACAGCTGATTTTTGGCCGGTTTGAGGCCTTTTTTGGCCTCCCAGAGGCTTGAAAAAAGCTTCTGCAGGCTTTTCAGGTCAAATAATAGGCCTGTTTTGTCACTTCCAGAAATACAGGAAGTGACTAAATGGGCCAATTATTGTCATGCCCCTGGTGGAGTCTGACTCTGAGGAAGAGGAGGAACAGCCAACAGGGAGTGGGAGTGTGGCTCCAGAGGTGGTGGAGGAGGCTGGGGAAGGGCAGAGGCCAGCTGAGCAGTCAGAGGAGGATCCAGGCCCATCCCCTATACAACCTAGGTTACGCAGGGAGGAGAGGTTGCTGAAGTCAATTAGTGTACACCTTGAAAGAGGCTTATCTTTGCTGGCGTTCTTCCCATGGACTGGCTATTTTCCTAGAGTTTATAATTAGTTATCTAGGCTTGCTTCAGAACTCTCATCAATGCGGTTTGTTTTGGTTTTCTGTTTGCCTCCTTAATTACTTTTGTGACTTTAAACTGTGCCTAATAAAACAGTGAAGTTAAGTTGAAGGCTTTACCGGACTTTAATATATGTTTTGGGTTTGGGGTTATTTTGAGAGACTACGGGTCATCACAATTATTCATCCTGCAAAGCCTGCAGAGGCTTTTTTCAAGCCTCTGGGAGGCCAAAAATCAGCTGTGAGGTGTGCAGCGAGGTAAGTTTGCCCGCGGCTCGCATGCTGGCACAAATAGCTCTGCGTGCCACCTCTGGCACGCATGCCGTAGGTTCGCCATCACGGCAATAGTTCATTTAGTGACTGTTCAAAGTTACAACTGAAAAAAGGGACTGTTTTTCACACTTACAACATCCCCTTAGTCACGTGATGCTTGGCAACTGGTTCATATTTATGACGGTCGCAGTGTCCTGAGGTCATGTGATCCACTTTTGAGACCACCTGACAAGCAAAATCAGTGAGGAAGCCAGATTCACTTAACAATTGTGGCAGGAAAGGTCGTAAAATGGGGCAAAACACACTTAACAAATGTTTCACTTAGCAACATAAATTTTGGGTCATAAGTCAGGAACTACCTGTATTGCTACCTATACAGAGAAATCTGGTCAACTGATGGCCAAAGTTAAATTGGCACTAGATAAGTATTCATGGAGGAGCTGAACTTGAGTATCTTGTGGCTACGCAATGATTCCCAACTGATGACACATTTAACTCTGCCTTCCAACTCCACCTGCTCATCTCTTAACATCCTATTTGCATATTCTTTTCAGAAATTGGCTTTCCTTTACAGTTGGACTGAATAAGTTTAGAAATACATTCATGCTTGCCTTTTCCTAGATGCTTGGGGAAATCATTTGGAAACGCTGCTTATGATAAATGTGGAAAGAAATGGAAATGTTCTTTATACTTGGAAGGTAAGACCAATTTGTTTCTTACTTGAGAAATGGTCATACGGAATTCCCTGGGGCAAGTAGATTTTTTTTACCATCGATGGACTCTTGAGTTAGGCCTGAAGAATGAGGTCCATTGGTCAGCAAAATGAAAGGAAGTGCAACATCATTTACAGAATACAGATCAACAGAGTTGGAAGGGCACATGCAGGAGACCCTACGTCAGTGGTGACTAACCTTTTTGGACTCCTGTGTCAAAAATGGCGAGCGCACCAGCCCGCCTGTACTCACGTACCAGCACCCAGAATGCAATGTGCAGCCCCCTTCCCCACACCCCCTGCGCATGCCTGCGCAATCACCACCCCCACCCCCTTACCTGCACTGCGCTTCACATCTGATATTTTGGCTGGTTTAAGGCCTTTTTCGGCCTCCCAGAGGCTTGGAAAAAGCCTCTGCAAGGCATTTCAGGCCGAGTTATAGGCCCTTTTAGTCACTTCTGGTATTACAGGAAGTGACGAAATGGTCCTATAATTCATCCTGAGAAGCCTTGCAGAGGCTTTTTCCAAGCCTCTGGGAGGTCGAAAAAGGCCTCAAACCAACTGAAAAAAAATCAGCTGTGAGGCGCGGGCATGCCCAGTGAGGTAAGTTTGCCTGCGGCTTGCGTGCCACTTGTAGCATGGGTGCCATAGGTTCGCCATCATGGCCCTATGCCAAAGATGTTTTTTTTCAAGAGCCAACTGGATTTTCTGGATTTTCTTTCAAGATGTTTCGCTTCTCATCCAAGAAGCTTCTTCAGCTCTGACTGGATGGTGGGGGAATGGAAGGATTTATATTCCTTGCAGGCAACTGGTCATTTGCATCCTTTTAGAGAGTCGTAGAGGCCATTAGGAGGTAACCCTGAGGGCAAAGATAAACCCCCAAGTGGTCTCAATGATTCTCTAAAAGAATGCAAATGACCAGTTGAGAATGAGATGAGAATGTCTTCAAAAAAAAATCAGAAAGTCCAGTTGCCTCTTGAAAAAAAAACACCTTTGGGACAACCATGACCTGGATGACTGAGGATCTTCATAGACATTCAGGAGACTCTACTATTCCGGCTGTCCAATTTCTTCTTAAAAACTTCCAGTGATGGAGCACCTACAACTTCTTGGAGACTTCCACTGGTTAATTGTTCACACTGTTAGGAAATTTCTCCTTAGTTCTAGATTGGATCTCTCTTTAGCAATCTTCCATCTATTACTTCTTGTGCTATCCTCAGGTGCTTTGGAGAATAGGTTGACCCCCTCTTCTCTGTGGCAACCCCTCAAATACTTGAAAACTGCTATCATGTCACCCCTAAGCCTTTCCTTCGTTAGACTAGATGCACCTAGATCCCACAACTGTTCATTGTATGTTTTAGTCTCCAATCCCCTGATCATCTTTATTGCTCTTCTCTGGAGTAAGATCAACCTTAGAGAATTTTTAATTTCCCAAAATAGTTTTTGTTAGGTGACAAGAGATGGGACTAGTGGTGATCTTCAGCCAAGATCTTGGTGATCTTGACCCACCAAGCCGCGCCCACAGAACTGGTAGTAAAAGAATATGAATCCCGCCACTGGATGGGACATAGATGAAGGTTGAAATGATACCAAAATGAAAAGACTGAATCAGGAATGGATCTCCATACCTTCACACTACTTTTCTTTATTGAGAAAAGGAGATGGAAAGTTTATATTTTTATTTTATTTCATCTTATTGCATGTGCGACTGTCTAAATAACCCTAAGCGACAAAACAAAACAAAAAGGTATTGCATTAAAACCAAGTTAGATTTATTTAACATAGGATTAACTATGTTAGGTAAACCTAGCTTGAAAGATTGAAAGATGCCATGGCATAAATAGGATTCTAAATATTCTATTATTATTTTTTTAATAATCTTTTTCATTAAGGAAAAAAACCCCGTTAATTATTTTTCCTCTGTCTTTTTTTATGTACCAAGAGAAGCTTTGACATATAGGAATTAAGTCATCTCAAATTTTCTACCCCCTTGTGACAATGGAACGATAGATATCAACTTTTAAATTTAGGCATAGATTTCCCAGACTGCAGATAACACCAAAATAAAACTGGTAAAGTTTTGACAGAAAAGGTGTTTTCCCAATAGAGAGTAAATATTTAAAATTATATTAAAATAGGAATATTTAACGCTCAATTGCTCTCTTTACAGGACCCTCAGGAATGCACAAATGTTGGATTGTATGATGATGATAATAAGAAAAACCAGGTATGCCTTATTTGCTGTATTTGTCTTTTGTAAGGATTAAATAAAGTTAGATAATCAAATGTTCCAGGCAGGATTGTTTTCAAGAAAACTGTATCTTTTGCAGTGAAATCAACAAGCATGAGGTCTGGTTATATAAATCTACTAGCTTGATACCTGTGCTTCACTACGAAACTATGTGGTCGGGCTTAGTTTTTGGGGAGGAAAATGAGGGGCGGAAAAAATCTGCCTCTGCCTACCAGCATCCATCAGTATTCATCTGGCTAGCTAGTAAACATTCAATCAGTGTGTGAGAGAGTTGAGGGCTGTTTGGAAACTGAAACAGCATTTGCTATGTGGGCAAGAAGGAGACAGCAAGGAGCCTGGGGCATGGCTTAGCTCAACTGTTCTGTACTAAAGCTTCTCGGTGCTCTGAAACTGAAACTGAAACTCCTCTGCTTGTGTTTTGCATTTGGAGCAGATTTCTTTTCAGGTGGGGCAGGGGAGTAGAACTCCTTAGCATCAGAGTGTGTTAATAATAATATAGGAAATACTAATGCTCTCATGGTCATTTTGAAAAATCCTTTCTCAGTGAGCACCTAGAAGCCAAGAGGAACATACGTGCCAAAATTTCAAGTTTGTAGGCTTTACATTTCTGGAGATTTTGTGATGATGCATGAGTGGTATTTTGCTTTTATATATATAGAAGAGAAGAAGAAGAAGATACAGCAAAACTATAAAAAAATAACAGATCTATCTCTTCTATTAGAAATTTTCAATATAATAACAAAATTTCAATATAATAACATTCAGCCAATAGTATCAAATTTAGGAGAGAACTCTGTTACAGGTAGTCCTTGACTTAAAACTACAGTTGAACCCCACATTTCTGTTGCTAAGTGAGACTGTTCTTAAGTGAGTTTTGTCCTATTTTACAACTTTTCTTGCCACATTTGTTAAGGGAATCTCTACCATTATTAGTGACACGGTTGTGAAGTGACTATGGCTTCCCCGTTGGCTTTGGTTGTCAGAAGGCCGCAAAAGTAGATCATGTGATCACAGGATAAAGCAACCGTCATAAATATGAACCAGTTCAGAGTTGGTAATTCAGCAGGTTCTGACCAATTCTGGAGAACCGGTAGCGGACATTTTGAGTAGTTTGAGAACCGGCCAGTACCACCTCTGACTGGCTCGACCCCCCTCTATTATTGAGTCCCAGTTGATCGGCTGGGTCTTCTTTGGTTGCCCTGCACAGGAGAACAGAGCTGGGAAGCAGGTTAGTGGGGTGGGGCCATGCCCACCAAGCCACACCATGCCCACTAAGCCACGCCCAGAGAACCGGTAGTAAAAAAAATTGAATCCCACCACTGAACCGGTTGCCAAGTGTCCAGATTTTGCTCACGTGAGGCCGCAGTGCAAATTTATGTTGTTAAGTGAGACATTTGTTAAGTGAGTTTTGTCCCATCTCAGGGCCTTTCTTGCCTCAGTTGTTACGTGAATCCCTGCAGTTAGTAACCCGGTTGTTGAGTGAATCTGCTTCCCCGTTGACTTCACTCATGAGAAGGTCGCCAAAGGGGAATCATGTGACCTCTGGGACACAGTAACAGTCATAAGTACGAACCAGTGGCCAAGCATTTGAATTTTGATCACATGACCATGGGGATGCCATAACAGTTGTAAGTGTGAAAAACGGGCATAGGTCTTTTTTTTTTTTTTGAGCATTGTTGTAACTTTGAATGGCCACTAAATGAATGGTTGTAAATTGAGGATTAGCTGTTAGGGTGCTGGATTAGGAGATGGAGAGTGGGAGGCCCAGGTTTTAATCCTGCCTTGGACATGGAAGCCAACTGGGTGACTTTGGGCCAGCCATTCTCTC